AGAGAGGGGGGAGGGGAGGGAGAGAGGGAGAGAGGGAGAGAGGGAGAGGGAGAGAGAGAGAGACATGTCTATGGAATTACTGTGTCCTCTCTTGGTTTACAAGGTGAAGCAACATGCAGCATGACTCCTGCGGTTCTAAATCTGTTTCTTACGTGGCTGTGGGGTTTTCTTCTCAGACCCAAGCCAAATGTTTTCTGTTTACAGTAGAAGTTAGTTCAACCCTCCTGTGATAGCTGCTGGAGTTTGACCCCTGTGCAGTCACACGTCTGCACGTGGCCCGATATAATCTGTTGTTTCCTAGTGAGGTGTGAATGTGAGAGTTTTCTTCCCAGTTTTTAGTTCCAGAATCAAGGAATACCATAGTTCTCTCAGGGCAGTTTATAAAATATTCTTTAAAATTACACACAAGCAACATGACATGGGGAATTTAAAAAAGTAATTTAGCCAACCACCTTGTTTTGTTTATTTTCTGATTTTTGTACAACCCCAATTTCATATTCTTGAATATTTTTCTGTTTGACAACATTTTTATAAGTATATTTAGCAACTGCATAATATTTTGGTAAGAATATCACTAGTTTTTTTCCTCTAGTTTTGACCATTCAGGTTACATCTGCCTTTTTTTTAGTATCGTGAATTTGACTTTATATATATATGTATATATATATACTTAGGCATATTGTATTCTACCTCTTGAATTACTGGATTTCCCTAAAATGTTTTATTAAAAGTGGATTTTTGAAGAGGGATTTTTTTGCCCCTCAGTTCTTGAAATATATTAATATATTTTGAGAAGTACTTACTAGTCACACTGCTGTCAGCCTTATAAGAATGCATCTTTTTCCACAAATTTATCACTGTTTGGTGATAAGGTTTTTTGTTTTCCGTTGGCTATTATTTTAACTTTAAAAATATGGTACCTTCTTGCTTTAACCTGCATTTCTTTGGTTCCAGGTGACTTGAACCTTTCTTCTGTTTTTTTTTCTTTTTCTAATCCCATTTCTGTGGTTGTGACCTCCGCCCGAGTCCTTTCCTTGTTACACCCATAGATGAAACTCAGTGTGTGCAATTGGTTTCGAGTGGACATACCTACACTTTGTGATATCCAGGCTATGCAGTTTTGTTTTTTTGCTAGCAAACTTGTTTATGTGCAGAAACTCACCCAGTTGATTATAAAAGGTCTCTTCTACTAGAACAACATTAAAAGCCATTGTTTTATGTAATGAGGATATGACTCTTTGTGTTCTCATTACAATTTTTTTAACTTTGGCCATTTTTCATTTCTACAGACGTTAAAATCTTCTATTTTTAAACCTGCCAGTCTTTTCTCTTGCTTTCTTTCATTACTTCATGGAAATTTAAGATGGCAAAGATTAAAAGGACTGATCTGTCTGATACTGTTTAAAAATAGTGTGAGAGGAAAACGGTGAACCAGGTAGATTAGTCCCTCTCAGCCCTGTGACATATGATGTGACAACGCAGCTCCTTGGTTCTGTGGCTCATACAGCTGGTGAGGGGCCAGCCTAATGTCCCGCAAAATGCCAAGGCCCCTGATGCTGGGGAAGCAAGTGAGGTGGGCCTGGTATGTGGGAATGGGCCACATCCTCACACTGATTCTGCTTGCAGCTCTCGCCAGCCCCGTCCTGGGCCTGAGAGAATGTACCCGAGGCTCGGCCGTGTGGTGCCAGAACGTGAAGACGGCGTCTGACTGCGGAGCCGTGCAGCACTGCCGGCAGACCGTCTGGAACAAGCCGACCGTGGTGAGTGCCTCCGGCTGCTGGGCCTCTGTGTCGTCTGTAAATGCTGCCCTTTACGGAGCGCTCTCTCCTGCTTCCTTTTGTTTGTGCTTCCTGGTGAACCTGAGACCTGTTTGTGGGTGGGGGTACCCACGCGGAGGAGTGGCGGGCTGGAGCGGGGAGGCTCCATTCCCCCAAGGCCGTCCAGTGTCCTGGTGGCACAGATAGGGGGAGGTCCTTGTCTGTCCTCCACTGCGTGCCCCATGCTGCCCTCCAGATGCAGCTCCCACCTCTCTATCCCACATAAGGGACCGGCAGGTGCAGCTCCCATTCCCAGGACAGGGCACACGGGTACGGCTCTGTCCTTGGTCACTCACTCAAAGTAGATGCTAAGCTTTTGAAATTCTTTCCCCCTTTTTTGGTATGTTTGTCTTTTAAACAGGCAGATCACTGATTCAGACCCTAAAGCTTGGTAGCTATCTAAAATTTTATTTCCAACTGTAGCCAAACTGGAAAAGATGCCACTGATTTTTCATCTAAACAGTGATAAATATAGCACATTAATATGGGGAATACTCTTAAGATGACAGACCTCAAGTGCATACTCCACGCAACCTGAGTCCTCTCAGGAGACGCCCGAGCTCTGCTGGCTGGGCCAGCTGACTACAGGAAGTGCTGTTTGCTCTGGGATGTGCTTCAGCCTGTGGTACAAGGCAGGTTTGATTGTGTGGAGCTTGAGGTCTAAAACTTGTCACTGGCCACTAGTACTCCTTCAGTAAGAGAAGAATTAATTCAGTAACACTGCTCTTTTAGTTTTCTGAATTCACTGTCTTAAACCACTCTCTGTGGCCAAAATTACTTTCAGATTTGGTTTCTAATTTGCTTCTGATCTTGTTTTTAATACTGCCTCCTCTTTTGAAGTTTAATGTATCATGGGGGCAGTTTAGATCTTTCTCTCTTGACAGTCTTGTGGATACCAGAACCTCTCGGGCATCATGCGCAAATTCACGATATCGTAAATTCATGATACTGAAAAAAAGGCATATGTAACCCGAGTGGCCCCATGCACAGTATAAGCCTGATTAGGTCCGAAGGTTCAAGGCGGTTTCTCTAAATGCAGCTAAATTCACAGGTGTTCCTTAATCTCACCCAGATGTGTTAGTTCCTTCTTCATGGGTTGAAAATTGGCTGACATAAGGAAGGGAGCGCCCCAAGAGCTTTGAGGACTGGCTAGAATTTCCGTGGTCCTGGGCCATGTAGGGATGCCAGGCTTGTCTAGAAGACTCGTGTCATGTCTCTGAGCTCTGCAATGGTGACATGTGGCCTTCACTGGCACACAGCACTGCCCAGGAGGTGGAAGGCAGACAGAGCGCCGGCAGCAGTGCTGGTGGGAATGCGCAGAGGCCTGACTGGGCCTTGTTTCGCTGCCCGCACCCTCTTACTCTGTGATGTTCCGTCACGTTACCGATTTTCTCTGATTTCTGCTGCCCTGAGTTCCAGCTGATTTTTGAGCCTCAGTTTCTTCACAGAGCTGTAGTGAGCATGAGTGCGAAATGCAGCCTGTGCCGTGTGCACTGAGCAAGGTGCTGAGGGGCAGAGGGTGCAGGAAAAGGCTTTCTGTCCTATAGAAGCACAGCGTAGTGTGATCAGCCACATCTAAGCCTCCCCCGCGGTGTCCAGTGCTTCTCACCTAGCTTGGGGGACCAGGATGTGCCAGTGTGTCAGCGATGGCCATGGTTAGATGAAACAGGAAAACGGCCATGGCAGCTTTCAGCTGTGCGCAGTGTGAGTTATGCCGTACGAATACAGATCTCTCTCCCTCGTGTTCCTTCCTCTTAGAAATCCCTTCCCTGCGACATATGCAAAGACGTCATCACTGCAGCCGGTGACATGCTGAAAGACAACGCCACTGAGGTGAGCCGCCACCAGGGTGTGTGACTGCATGTGAGCGGTGGCCGTGTGGCCACGCGCATCGGTTCCGTGCGGAGCTGTGACTGAGGGCGTCCAGCGAGGAATGGTCAAGGCTCAGGTCGGAAATAACTGTCCTGTGGGCCACAGACTGCTTCTGTCATGTAATGTCCCCCACCCCCATCCTTTAAAAATGTAAGAACCATTCTTAGCCGCAGGCTGTACAAAAACAGGCTGCGGGCCCTAGTTTGCTGACTCCTGGGCTAGGCGTCAAATGCCCGAGGTTGATTGGGATTTTGTGTCACATGCCGTTAACCTTTAGGTCCATTTTTGGTGACTTCGGCTCAGAATTCCCTGTGCCAGTGAGACCGCAGGTCAGAGGATCTTCGTTTTGAATACTGCTCGCATCTGCTTTTTGCCTCACTGACCTGGCAGGGCCACGGCTCCACACTAGCCCTCTCCCAGGTCCTCTTCCCCGAGGGCCCCTGTTTCTAGACTTCACGTTTCTGGAGTTGTGGAGGGCCTCTTGCTTTCAGCCTGTTTGTGGAGACGAAGTCCATCCTGGTCTGACCCTTGCCTCTGTCCTCTCTAGCAGGAGATCCTTGTGTACTTGGAGAGGACCTGTGAGTGGCTGCCTAAGCCAAACATGTCTGCCTCCTGCAAGGAGATCGTCGACTCCTACCTCCCGGTCATCCTGGACATGATTAAAGGACAAATGGTACGTGATGGAGAATAGATAGGCTCTTCCTTCAAGGCACCTCTGGGGCCCAGGGGAGGTTCCAGACCAGATTACAGTGACTAAAATGGAAAGTCCGTTCATAGACTGAGATTTCGTCAACGGATCTTTTTGTACAGTTTTCGTCCAAAATGGCTTTGGCACAGCAGACCACTCTGCTTGTAACGTTTAAGGGTTGGGGAGGGTATGGGAAATGGGAACTCATAGAATTAATGAAGGAATGTAAACTGGTATAACAGTTATAGGTGCTGATTTGATAACTCATGTCAGCTACAAGGATGCTTGACTTTCATTCAGTAAGTATCTGTTACGCATAAACCGTGTGCCAGAGGTTGGGTTTTCAGCAAGGAACAAGGAGGCGGGTTTGTGGAGTTTGGAAGGACCCTAAAAACCTCCAGTGGGGCAGGAGTGTCCTGAGATGGGACCAAGGTTTTGTTGAGGAAAGCAGGGGTCACATCACACAAGACCTTTCAGGCTGTGTTTCAGGATTGTCGGTGCAGCGGGGAGGTCTTGGAGGGTTTCACGGGGAAAGGTGAGATGATCCCTTTTCAAAGGGGTTGGTCTGGTCTGGGTCCCACCAATTGGGAGTTGCAAGAGGGGAAGCTGGCAGGACGGTCAGGTGTGAGATCTGATGGGGACAGTGGAGGCGGACAGCTGCACGTGGTCTTAGTAGATAAACGGACTGGACTTGCTGGTGGAGGGGAGGAGTTAGGCGTGTCTTCCATGTTTGTGGCTGGCACCTCCGGGAGGACGGTGGTGGAACAATTTGTCATAATGGAGCCGTGGGGCCGGCCAAGCAGGTTGGGCGGTTTGGTTTGAGATGTGCCTGTTAGCTGGGCATGCGCATGTGAGTCATGCCAGGAGATGAGGAAAGGGAGAATTCGAAGGCGCCGGGTGGCCTGTTTCCTTCTGGGGAGAGGATTTCCACTTGTGCCTCTTTCCCCCCCCAGAGCCATCCCGGGGAGGTGTGCTCCGCTCTCAACCTCTGTGAGTCTCTTCAGAAGCACCTGGCAGAGCGGAATCACCAGAACCAGCTCGAGTCCAATCAGATCCCGGACCTGGATATGGCTGAGGTGGTGGCTCCCTTCATGGCCAACGTGCCCCTCCTCCTCTACCCTCAGGATGGGCCCCACAGCAAGCCCCAGCACAAGGTGAGGCAGTGGGCCTGGCCGCCCAGGGCCCCGTCTTTGGTTGGGTTTGAGCTGTGACACAAAAGGGGGCGGCATGTGCGTACAGTTCTCAGACTGGGGTCTTATTCCTTTACTTGATTCTGCAGTTCCACAGCCCACCCTTCAGATGGTTGTGCATGGAGGTTCTGAAGAACCGGGATATCTAACAGACACAGAGATGGTTCCCCCTTCCTGTTAAGCTTTACTATAATCAATGGCCACTTGATTTTAAACCTGTCAGTCCCTTTAGAGCCTGTAAAAACACATTAGGAACAGTTCAGGGACTCACCCCTGGTGCTGCAGTTACGAGCATGTCGGAATCCGAACACCCTTAGCTGTTTTTAGGAATATGCAGTGTTTACAGACCAACTGCCCCTGTGTCTCTAGGCTGATGGGGACGTTTGCCAGGACTGCATTCAGATGGTGACCGACGTGCAGAATGCTGTGAGGACCAACTCCAGCTTTGTCGAGGCCTTGGTGGACCACGCCAGGGAGGAGTGCGACCGTCTGGGGCCTGGCATGGCCGACATGGTGAGCCTTACCTCAGGCATCGGGGGACGTTCTGGGCCAGGGAGCTGGGCTGTGCAGACAGCAGTGGGGGAGCCAAGAAAAGTTCACTTCCTGGGGTGCCATTTCAAGTTCCCGCCTGAGGGCTTTGAGGAAGAGATGTTCAAACAGTTCCCAGTTCCCAGAAAGCAGCCAGATATGTGGTGGGTACTTAAATACCTGGTTGGTTAATTGAGTTTGGATATTATGTAACAGAACTCCGGGGACAAAATAGTGGAAGGAGAAGGAGACCACGTTTGTGAAGACTTTCTTTTTCTCGCAGTCACCACAACTTTAAGAAACAACAGTAGAACCACTTAGAACCCTGTTCCGGTTCTAAGGCCTGGCTGTTGTCTATTCGTAATTCTAGGTGTGCTGTCCCCGCCACCAGCAGGGTGGTTGCCCAGGGGAAGCCACGCGCCTGGCTTGTAAGAGGCTCACCCGGGATGCCTTCCTTCCTTTGGCGAATGTTGGTCCTCCAGGCTCGGGAACTCTTCGTTAGCCCCGTGGGGGGTTTATGTCTTGGACCCTGTTCCCATTACCCACACTCACGAGATTGATGTCTAAAACCAAAATGCCATTTAGTACCCGACCACTAATAAACCTCTGCAAGACTGGATGTGGGGAGGCCAGCTGTAAGAAGTCCTTGGGCCTGGCATCTAGAGCAGCCTTTCTGGGTGGGAATGGCTGGCTCTGGGAGCTAAGGGTTCCTTTCTGTTAACTTTCTTTAAAGCCTGTGAATCTTTTAGCCTCATTGAAGTATCTTGGTATATTTGCTGTGTCAGTTGGCTTCCCCAGGTTAACCTCTCTGAGGGCCGTCATATCACCCTGTTTTCTCACGTATAGAGGCTCCCCAGTCATGACCAGATAGGGTCTGCAGGAAGTACCTAGATTTTTATGAAAATCATTATAACTTAACTGGATTATACTGGATTTAAACGTTATAATCCTGTCCAAGAATGTGTGAACGGATTTGAAAAGTAATCTCGGATCCATCATAGTGTATCTTGTAGCCACACTCACTCTAAATTGCCACTGAGTAGTTGCCGTGTGACCTCGGGGAAAGTATGGGCCATAAAAGGAGATTGGAGGACCTCATCTCTAAGGGCCTTTGGAAAACATTTTCGAAACACTTTTGCACACGTTTTCCTGTAAGGTATGGAGTAACCAAATTGCCATTTTTTATCTTATTGAGACTTGCCCAGAGCGGGCATTGATGATTCCACTCTTGGAAACTTGCTTGACACTCACCTACTGACACTGTTGGAAAGGGTGGGGTTTTGGTGTGGTCTTGTAGCAGTGAGTTTCACTAACAGTCTGTTTCTCTCTCCCCAGTGCAAGAACTATATCAACCAGTATTCGGAAATTGCTATCCAAATGGTGATGCATATGGTAGGTGGCAGGGGAAGCTCCTTGTTAGCATTTTTCTTTGTCTCAAACTGTGATTTCTAGGATTTTGAAAATTATATGGTTTAGTTTCCCTTTTACCTTTGAGTACTGAATTGGGCCAAAATGAGCCCTCTTTGACCAGCAGACTGTCCACCTGCAACTCAGTGCCTCCCCCTCGCCTTCCCCAGGTAGGGGAAAGGCTGAAGCAGCCTGACCCCCGGGACTGCCCTGCTGGCTTCCTGGCGGTTTGTTTGCCGGTGCACATGTGAGCTGGCCATCAGATTTCTAGTATCTGGCTTTCATTCTGGAACCCTTGGGAATAGTCTGCTCTGTAGCTAGGCCAGGCCTGAGGATTGCTGTCTTCCAGCCTGAGTTCTGAGGGGGGGAGCATCCGCCTCCCAGAGTTGGTCCTGCACTCTCCAGCAGTGTTAGCTGTAGCTGCTGCTGGAGCCCGGAACTCCTGCACTTGCTTCTCATGAATCCAGGGGGTAGGGGCATTCCTTCATTATTAGGGGTAGAAAATATCCAGAAAGCATAGTGAAGCCAGCTAGATCCATGCAGCAAACTGTACGGGGCAGGGAGGTCTGAAGGCATCCTTACATGGGGAAGAGGCACTGGCCTCCTGAGATCTGACCTGCAGTGGGTGAGGGGTGAGTTGTCCTTTTTTTCTCTGTCATGCTGACTTCCTAACTATGTTGAGACTAGCCTACAGTCCCTGAGTTTGTTCTCCTCAGGGCCAAGTAGATACACATGCGCATCCCTGTTTTTTCCCTTAAGGTAGGTAACTAAGACTGGAATTGCTGAGTCAAAGGGCAGGGCTTTTAATAACACAGGCTCACCTCAAAGATACTGCAGGTTTGGTTTCAGACCACTGCAGTACAGTGAATATCACAATAAAGTGAGTCAAACGAATTTTTTGGCTTCCCGGTCATATAAAGTGTATACCACGCTGTAGTCTGTTACGTGTGCAGTAGCATTAGGTCTAAAGAAACGATGTACATACCTTAATTAAAAAATACTCCATTGCTAAAAACCATTAACCATCATCTAAGCCTTCAGTGAGTCATAGTAGTAAAAAGTTGAAATATTGTGAGAATTACCAAAATGTGACACAGAAACATGCAGTGAGGAAATGCTGTTTATTGGAACGATGGGGGCCGATAGACTTGCTTGAAGCAGGGTTGCGACAGACCTTCAATTTGTAAAATCTGTGAAGCTCAATAAAATGAGGTATGCCTGCATTGTCAAACCAGCCTTCCAGGCTGGCATTCGGCCACCTGGGGGCAGATTGCCCTGAGACCTGGGCTGGGGATCCCTGACCCCTCCGGGTGTATTTGATATTCTGACACACGCCCCTGATTTGAGCAGCCCTGTGTCTTGTTCCCAGCCGCTCATCACCAGCCTGAGGTGAGGGCCTTGCAGGCGTGGTGGGCTCGGCTTCTGAGTGAGGAAAGCCCCTCCTAACGTGTTTTCTGGGGACCTGCTGCTCAGTGTTTTGCCGTGGCGTGTTAGGGACATGGGGATGGTGCACCAACCGGCTTCTGGGGGCAGCGTGATCTGACCCCTTGAAGGAGAGAGTAGCTTTCAGGGTCCCCATGTGCATGCAATGGTAGGAACAAGGTAGGTTGCTGATAGGTGACTGGAAGGGCATTTCACCTAAACTTCTGGTGACAGACATCCTTATACCTGGTTAACTGCTTGATTATTGTTGTTTTAATTTTTTCTTAACTGTTGTGTCCTTTCCTTTCTCTTATTTTTTTCATCTCCGATTTCCTGTTTTTTTGTTCAACAGCAGGATCAGGTATGTGCTGGGAATTTGCTTGTAGTAGTGGTCTGCTGCTGCTTGTTGTTAATTTTGCTCATCTTTTTTTGTACGGCATCGTCAGCTCTGACAGATACAAGGAAAGATAGTGAAAGGCAGGCTCCCTCTCTGTGTTAATAACTTGGCCGGCAAGGGAGCTCCCACACCTCTCCCCTGTGATTCAGCACTGGGAGGGGCCAGGGGCCTCACTTCCCCTTCGGGGGGCCCAGCAGATGAAGCCCGCAGAGCCTTGCACTCTGGTCGGAATCAGCGCCCAGCCAGCCACGTGCAGGCCACCAGTGTGGTGGGGAACCATCGGTGGCCTCAGCTTCCTTCAGTGCAGGCCCAACTTCAGTGGGACACCTTGTTTCTGTCATGATTCAGGAGAGCGTTGCATGTCATTGGTCGTGTTTTTCATCGCCCCAGAAATGCTTCTGCTGCATGAGCAAGTCATTTGCAGATAGCCAGCAGACTGTTCCCCTGTCTGTTGGATCCAGAGAACTGGAAACAGTCTCTTGATTATGGCTTCTGCCCCTCTGGGTGACGGGGTCCTTTGGGTTCTGGAGCCACACGAGACAACTCAGGAGCCAGGCCACTGGGGGCAAAACATGGGGACCGAGCCCCCAGACTGGACTTACCGAGCTAGTGCCCTTTCGGGGTTGTACTGAGCACTGCCCTCCTTTGAGTACTGGTATCCATTTTTAGAATTAAAGATTTTCAAAGGTATTGTGAAGTCTAAGAGGAGAGGACTTTGGTTGAGATATCTGAATTTTCACCTAGGCCTCCTCAAGGATTTAGTGCAGCAAAGCTGATCTGAGACAAAGCAGCCACCCCTCCTCATCTTTGTCCTTTTTCTAAAACGCTTTTGCTATATCTTCAACCCCTTTCTGATTTTTGCCCGTTCTTAAAGCCTGCCAGAGATAGGATACTTCTAGGATATACTTTTCAGAATTCTCCAGCCTTATTTAATTTTAGAGCCTTCCGCATATAAAACAAGATGAACCATAGCCATGAGCTATTCTTTCCCCTTAACGGGGCCCCTTTTAGCGATCCTGTTCCTGCTGCTTTATGATTTGCTCGTGGGAGCAAATGCCGTCAGGCCAGAGCTAGTTGCATTTGCTTACAAAGTATACCAAGTGCGTATATTCACTTGCTCTTGGCCATTGTCGTAGTGAAATGGTCAAGATGTTGTCCAAACTATCTAGTTCTTCTGTGGTTTGGTGTCTGGAGGGGAAAGGGGATCTGGAGACCTTGTGACTTGAAAAGATTCATGACATGGGGAGACTGGGTTTTCGTTTGTGTGTGTGTGTGTGTGTGTGTGTGTGTGTGTGTGTGTGTGTGTGTGTGTGTGTGTGTGTGTGTGTGTGTGTGCGCCTTTCAAAAAATCAGATAAAGTTTATCAGTGAGCTGTCAGATATTTTCAATTTTATTTGGTTAATTTGTCATAAAGCATATTCACAACTAGGTCTCAGGCCTTTTGCCTTCTAGCTGCATATTCTTTACTTTTTTCTTCTTACTAATAATACAAAGACCTTAATTCTTCCCTTTTTCCCAATCACCAAAAATCGAGGACCCCAAAATAACAAAAAGTATATAGGAATTATGTTTAATTAATTGTATCATATTTGTCCAAGACCCTGTACATTTTTGTGTGTGTGTGTAGTACACGGGCCTCTCACTGCTGTGGCCTCTCCCGTTGCGAAGCACAGGCTCCGGACGCGCAGGCTCAGAGGCCATGGCTCACGGGCCCAGCCGCTCCGCGGCACGTGGGACCTTCCCGGACCGGGGCACGAACCCGCGTCCCCTGCATCGGCAGGCGGACTCTCAACCACTGCGCCACCAGGGAAGCCCCCGGTGTGGTTTTATTTCTAACACATTTGGCGCTCTGTTAGTTTATGGGCATCGTAGTTCTTCCTCTAGAAAGAACGCGTAGCTTATTACTTCCTCCTCCTGAGGGCGAGCCAGCTCAACTGAAAAACAGACCAGGTGTCCTTGTAGTTGATTCGATTGCCCTTGAAAGGTGCCAGGAGTTTTGCTTCCCTGGGTGCTCCCTGGCTGGAGCAGATAGTGGTTCTGTCTGAGCACTCTTCAAAGCTTTGCATGGCCTCCTTCCCCATGTGAAACTGGTACATCTGCATTTGCACAGGCCCCTTTAGATTTAATGTGGACTCTTTGCCTGTCTGGGGGGCAGTCAGCTTTGACACTGGGTCTAGGATGTTCCTCCAGCACCCCGACTTTGTGTGTAGAGCGTGGGACGGGGGTGGTGGGTTTGGGCCTGCCTCTCACTGCTGCTTCTGTGCTCTTTTTAGCAACCCAAGGAGATTTGTGGGCTGGTTGGGTTCTGTGACGAGGTGAAGGAGATGCCCATGAAGACTCTGGTACCTGCCAAGGTGGTCTCGGAGAACGTCATCCCTGCCCTGGAGCTGGTGGAGCCCATAAAGGTACCCGGTGCCGTTGGTTTTGTGATGCCCCGCCACTCCACATTGTCACACCCTACAAGGCACACACTCTTTTGGTTCCCTGCTTGGCCTTTAAAGGTATTTGAGTTTGAGACCATTAGTTTACAGTATCCCCTAAACTGATGCAGCGCCCCCTACCCTCGTACGTTTATCTCCTCGGTTATAAACCCTAGTGCTCATGGGATCAAGTCTACGTTTTTAGCACACCATTCGAAATCATTTTTCAGTGCCCGGCTCCGACCGAACCTTTCCAATGTGCTTTCTGTGGCCTCGCCCACCTCCTTCCCCGTGCTGTGGCCGTGGTACAAACTTGATGTTTCCAGAACAGGCGCCCAGCCCTGTGATGTCTTATCACATGGCACGTGTGTGCACTTCTTGTTCCAGAACTTTCCATGTCAGTGTCACTTGACCTTTAGCTGGCTCATCTCCTCCTGTTGTCTTCTCTCGGCACGTGTACTGTGTGGACCACACAAGGGTTGCGTCTGGCAGAGTCGGAAGCGTTGCTGCTGCCCCTCCTGTCCAGTCGAGACGCTCAGAGGCTCTGGCCCATCTTGCTGACTGAATTAGTGGCTGGAGAAGATGGAGAGTTATAGCTGGTACTCTAGCCACATGTGATAGTTAAATTTAAAAAAAAAAAAGAAAAAAATTCAGTTCCTTGGTTACACTAGCCACATTTCAGGTGCTTAGTAGTAGACTCATGTGGCTAGCGGCTGCTGTATTGCGTGGCACGGCCAGAGAACGTTGCCACTATCACAGAAAATTATGTTCAACAGTATTGTTTTATCAAAGGTAGGCTCTGGAAAGGCAATCTCAGGCGCTGAGACTTGAAACGCAAGAGCAGACCTGAAACATGTTTAAAACGCTGTCTTCTAAACAGTAGACTAGTAGTGAATCCTCTCTCTGTTCCTGCTCCCCCATTCGCCTCCCCAAAATGAATGCTGAATGATGAGGTGATTGCAACCAAACGGCCACTGATTGGACAGCTCTTTGGGGTTGGGGGACAGTTTCACTGCTTCTGTTCCTGGTTTTGGGGTGGTGGTAGAGGACTGGGGAAAGGGATGGGTTTCCCACCATCTAGGAGCAGCAGGGACTGGGGCTTGGACACTGGGAGGAAGCCACACGCCATTCTGAATGCAGCAGGAAGTGGCCTTTGTGTGACGCTAGCCCGTCCTGGCGTCATGCCCCACTCCTTTAGAGGAGCGGGACCAAGGAGTGAGGCGAGGCCCTCAGTGTTAGTATTCTTCTGCCCTTTCAACAGAAGGATCCGGTCCCGGCGAAGGCTGATATTTACTGTGAGGTGTGCGAGTACGTGGTGAAGGAGGTGGTCAAGCTGATTGACAACAACAGGACCGAGGTACGTGGATTTCGGGAAATGCTGCCATCGCAAACGCTCCTGGCCCTGGAGCCAGAATGGCCTGGTGGGAGGACCCAGCCCGAGAGCTGGGTTTGGCCCTTGTGGGTATGGGACACCAGCCCGGGAGTCGGAACCACCACTTCCCAGCAGCAGATCCCTCTGGGCTGGGGCCGGAGGCAGCCTCTTTGCCCTGCTCTGTAGGTCTAGCCTTTGAGGGAGAAAGCACCACCTTGCTGTTGGCCCCCTGGTCACATCAGCATTTTCAGAGTCTCTCCCACCCCACGCGGCCTCCCATCTTCTCACATGAGCCTCTCGTGTTTCAGGAAGAAATAATTCACGCTTTGGACAGCGTGTGCTCGAAGCTGCCCACGTCCTTATCCGAGGAGTGCCAGGAGGTGGTGGACACTTACGGCAGCTCCATCCTGTCGATCCTCCTGCAGGAGGCGAGCCCTGAGCTGGTGTGCAGCATGCTCCATCTCTGCTCCAGCCGGGGGCTGCCTGCACTGACCGGTGAGCCCAGTGCGCGTGAGGCCGGCCGGCCCCTCTCGGGTTAGGGAGGGCCTTGCCAGCACTGAGCCTGTGCTCTCTTGCGTAGTACACGTGACGCCGCGGAAGGACGGTGGCTTCTGTGAGGTGTGCAAGAAGCTGGTGACCTATTTGGAGCACAACCTGGAGAAGAACAGCACAAAGGAGGAGGTCCTTGCTGCCTTCGAGAAAGGCTGCAGCTTCTTGCCTGAACCGTACCAGAAGCAGGTACGCTGGGGGCTGCTTTCGGCCAGAACGTCAGAACCTGCTTGGGACGTGCAGGAGCTGGGTAGCTCACTGAGTGTACTGCTGGTTGAAGTTTTGAGGGAGAAGCAGCCACTTCTGCCTCTGGCCTGGAGTCCACTCAGATTTTCTTAAAGGTGCTCTGTCGGCTCAAGTGGAGCCACTAGGGGGAAATGAACATGAGCAGGTGTGGGTAGGTGTGTCCCCTGGGCAGGCAGGGAGGCCCTGGGCCCACTGGGCTGGCAAGGCCAGGAATTCTGGTAAAGAGCATGGCCTGCGCCCCACACTCTGCCTGGGCCCACCTAGACCCACATTGCTGTTTCCCTAACAGTGTGATCAGTTTGTGACGGAGTACGAGCCCGTGCTGATAGAAATCCTGGTGGACGTGCTCGACCCTTCCTTTGTGTGCCTGGTAAGCGGCGTTGGGCCGGTATGGATGGGTTCCTGGGCAGTGTGACCTGGGAGATGCTGCATGGACCCTGGAAGGGTTCCTCTGAGATTTGGGGCTGGGGATGGTGTGTGGGAGAACCAGGCATCCAGGCCCCACCACTTGACTCGGCAACCATGCCTTTTCTGGAAAGTGCTTATTAGAGCTCTGATTCTAGCTGCTTTTAGAAGCTGATAATCATCTCAGTTTTGAAAAGGATTAGCTGGGCAGACCTAATTCTTCCCCCTTCTTTTGACCTTATAGAAAATTGGAGCCTGTCCCTCAGCCCGTAAGCCTCTTTTGGGAACTGAGAAGTGTGTCTGGGGCCCGAGCTACTGGTGCCAGAACATGGAGTCGGCAGCCCTGTGCAACGTGAGTAGCTCAGCAACTGCTCCCCAGGACCCCTGCCAGGCAGGCAGCTCGAGGGAGAACCTGCTCTAACAGGCTCCTCGGCAATCAGCTGTACCCTGTCTTTGGTGGGGAGCTGGGTGGGGGAGGGGGACTGAGGCCCAGAGGGGCAGTTAGGCGTACTTATGGGCACCGGCCAAAGCAGGGCTCACTGCATTCTTGTCTTTGAGGAGGGAGCGGTGGTGGCAGTGGATGTTCTGCAGCGTTCTTTGCTTCCGCCTTCAGTCCCCTGGTGACAGGGTCAGATATGCACGAGGTCAGCCGAGGGATTGCACAAAGCCCATCGGATTCTTGCACAAGGCCTCATGCCTCTTGGGTCACTCTTGCCCTGGCTGGCGCCCGGCCTGAATCTTCACCCAGGGCCCAGCGGAGCTCTTCTTGAAGGGCCTGGGAGTTGGCTCCTGGCTGGGCAGCCACTACTGGATGACCCATGCTGCTTTCCTGGGTGGGGACGTTTTGGCTCGGCCTCTGTTACTTGATGTTCCCAACTTCTGCTTCCTCGTGGGGGTTCTTCAAGACCAGTAAGCCGGCATCAGGGCCGCTGCAGGGAGGATGGTGAGGCCCACCCTGCCGAGCCCCTTGCCCCAGCACCCTCACCCTGTAGCACGGTCAGTGGTGGAGTGGGGTGGAGTGGATTTCTGTCGCTCTCCTGGGTACCCGGGCCTGTTTCTGAGCTGGCCTGAGCTGATGTATACCTCTGACTCTTGGGTGAGGAGTTCTGCCTTGGGGGCCTCGATGCAGGGGCTCGGGTGTGTAACCAGAGGAAGGGGGGGGGGGGGGTCCTGGGTCCTACCTGCAGGGGTGCTGTTCACCCACTGCTCTGGACTCTTGCCTTATGAGTCCCCAAAACTCATAGCCACCTACTATCCCCCAGTTTAAATGAGATGCTGTCCCGGGGCTTTAGCGCCTGGTGCCATCCCGGCTGATCTGGGACAGGATAGCGGGTCCCAGTTTTGGGTGCCGGCTGATGCACTAATGGGCCAGGGATGGCGTTTGTCACCTGCAGACTAAACTGTGTCCTCTCTCCTGTCAGGCTGTCGAGCATTGCAAGCGTCACGTGTGGAACTAGAAGGCACGGTCTGTGTTAGAGAAACTGCAGCATCTTTTCCTGCTTGTGTCTGGGGGAACGAACACACAGATCTGTTGGCTTTGTTGTTGTTATAAAAATAATAGGAGCCCCCTCCCTCAGTCGCTTTCTTCTCGCCCTCATCGTAGCATTGCTGTCAGCATGCCGCTGGCGTCGCTGCTTCAGTGTCCCTTTCCTCCCTGCTAGATGGATGCTGACATACCGTACACTGGAGGTCTTTTGAGTCTGTCCCTGCGTGGTGGTTACCCGGAGGAGACGGGGCTCTGGCTGTGGGCATGAGCCAGAGCCTCTTTTGACTGAGGTTGTCCGTCCTCCTGGATGGGCCTTGGGTGCTGCGGCCTCTGGAGGCCTGCTCTAAGGAGGGACCTTCCTGCCTCGTGGGCCTGCTGACTGCCAGACAGAGGTAGTTTTATATGAAAGATGAGAGGCTCAGAATAATTATTAGGCTTTTCAAACAAACAAACAAACAACGTGGTTCTCACTGTAATAGAGCTGCTGGAAGCAGCGGCTCAGGAGACCTGGTGGGGCCGGGCTTGCTACCCTTGGGTCAGCCTTTGTTCCGGCTTTTCTGTCTTTCCTGGTTGATGCCCTGTTCTGTGGTTTGGGGTGGGAGGGGGAACAAAATCTGCATGAATGTAACCTGCTAGCTCTTTGTGGAGGACCTGGGGCGGGGGGGCCTGCTTTTGTGCGTGTGGACAGTGGTGACTGCGTCATGCCTGCTCTTGTGCCCCCGTTGCTCTGGGCAGTACAGCCCCCTCCCCTCTGACCCC